TCTTTATTTCACTCTGTCTTACTCCTTTGAAAAAGACAGAATCTGTAACTGAACCTGTTTCTTTTCTTTTTCTTTTTTTTTTTTTTTTGCATCTGCATGGAAAGAGTTTATTATAATATAGAGATAAAGAGTCAGAAAGAGAGAGAGGAAGAGAAGAGAAGAGAGGAAAAGCAGAGGTGTGCGCACCTCATGGCAAAGAAGAAAGAAATTGGAAGAGCCTGAACCTGTTTCTTTATCTAGACTGGCAGCCAGCAAGTCTCCAGTTTTGGGATTATAGGCACAAGTGACTACATCTAGCTTTCTATATATAGATTTAGATTCAGGTCCACATGCTTTTGTAGCAAGTGCTCTTGCCCAATGACCATCTCCCTAGCCCCATACTTTGGATCATTTTGGTTTGGTTTTTTGGTTTTTGAGACAGGGTCTCACTATGTATCTCTGGCTGTCCTGGAACTTACTATGTAGACTAGACTCATGGAGATCCACCTGAGTACTGGATTAAAGGCTTGGTGTGTGCCACCACGCTTGGCAATACCTAGGCTCTTATATAGTATATTCTGTATAAATCCAGTGAACCTTATTAGTCTTTGTAGACTATGTTTGAAGTAGTTGGATATATATATATATATGTTTGTATATGTCTGTATATACACACATATGCATGTCTAGGAGGTCTGATAATAAAGCCACAGTCTGATAGTTTCTGAACTTCTGTTTCTCCATCTGTAAAATGAGAATAATGAAAAATGTTTTTAGCTAAAATTTGTGAATTGCAAATCATTCAGAAGAGAAAAGTAAGCTGCTTGTGTCCTTACTTCCGGGGTGGTAAGATGAAACATTGACTATATCTTCTCAATTTGCCATTACATAGATCTCTTCTTAATCTTGTTCATATGGCTTGCAAGATGGTTCCTTTTTTTTTTTTAAGTGTGAATTCTGTATTAGGTTATCATTCGCTATAATTTCTCAATGATACTCCTCTATGTTTTGTGAAAATTGAGATATTTTTAAGACAAAGTAACAGGTAAATTTTATGAATAAAGGCTTATCATTATAACTGGTATGTGGATAATGTTTCTTTAGATTACTAAAGTCCAGATAGGAAGTATGTGTATCTTGTTAATAGTAATAATCTCAGTGTTTAGTACATGGAGGGCGAGATTTCTACTGTGAGATTTCACCAAAGTTCTTGTTTACTGAGGCATTCCCAATTCTCTTTAGACACATGTTTATAGATAATTCCCTTGGACCATTTCTCCAAAGGGTGGTCATTAAATTGTGTGGATTTTTTAAAAAAGTGTTGGGACTGGAGAGGTATCTCACTAATTAAGAGTACTTACTGTTCTTCTAGAAGATTTAAGTTCCCAGCACCCATGTCAGGAAGCACATAGCTACCTGTAACTTAGGCACCAGGGAATCTGATGCCCTTTTCTGGCCATGGCCACCCCCCCCCCCCACACACACACACATGCATATACCCCTACACACAGTTACACAAACATATACCTACTTTTAAAAAAAAGCAACAGCACTTGGGAGGCAGGGGTAGGTGGATATATGTGTGTTTGAGGCCAGCCTGGTCTACATAGTGGGTTCCAGGACAGCTTGGACTATGTGGTAAAATCTTTTCTCAAAAAAACTAGTTAGATGTTAATCCTAGCACTCCTGAGTTAGATCGAGGCCAGGACAGGTGGAGCTACACAGATCTACAGAACTCGAGTTCCAGGACAGGTGGGGCTACACAGAGAAACCATGTTTCAAAAAACAAACATACAAACAAAACCCACAAAACTAAATAAATAATTTTTTTTTTGAAATAAAAATAGTCTCACTGCCTCCCTAGCATAATGAGAAACAGAGAAAGTGGTTTCCCTTGCGAGGGCAGAAGGCAACCTATAGGAATTTGTTTTTAAGTGAGTGTGTTTAACAAAGTATGTCGGCAGAAGTTTCCGTCCTGCCAGCAGCTCCCAAATAAACACAGTGAGGTTTATATTAATTGTAAATGCTTGGCCAATAGCTCAGGCTTGTTAACTAGCTCTTACATTTAAATTAACCCATAATTCTTATCTACCCTCTGCCACGTGGCTCATGGTAGGTTACCTCATTTTCTATAGTCCTGCTTCCTCTGCATCTGCTGGTGTCTTCCTGACTCTGCCCTTCTTCATCCCAGCAGCCTTAGTTTGGTTGTCCTGCCTATACTTCCTGCCTGGCTACTGGCCAGTAGCTTTTTATTAACAATGAGAGCAGCACATTTTCACAGTGTATAGGATTATTCCACAGCAAAAGTGTCTTTAGTATTAGTGATCGTTAAGTGAAGTGTGCAGCCAAATCACTGAGGAACATTTTAAATATCAAAAGAAAAGTTGTGTCCCTAGTCTACAAATGATCTCATACCATAGATACTATTTTGCAATTGTCATTTCTTGACACTCTGTATGAATCTTTCCATAGCTTACATTTGGATTATAGTTTGTTCATTTAAGTGCCCAGTTGAATACTCAAACATTATTTATTTACTTATTTATTGGCTTTTCAAGACAGGGTTTCTGTGTGTAGCCCTGGCTCTCCTGGAACTCATTCTGTAGACCAGGCTGGCCTCGAACACAGAGATCCACCTGCCTCTGCTCCCAAGTGCTGGGATTAAAGGTGTACTGCTGCCAGGCTTAAATGTTATTTTCCAGTTTTACATGGAGATTTTACTGTTTTGCTTCTCCCCTCCCCCACCCCCCCTCTTTTACCAGCTATACAGCAATAGGTAGATTTATTTGCAATATGTATTATTATTTCACTTGAAGGACAAACTATAAGTAGGGTACCTGGGCTTAAGAATTTTCTGATTTAACCAGGCGGTGGTGGTGCACGCCTTCCTTTAATCCCAGAACTCAGGAGGCAGAGCCAGGCAGATCTCTGTGAGTTCAAGGCCAGCCTGGTCTACAGGGCGAGATCCAGGACAGGCACCAAAACTACACAGAGAAACCCTGTCTCAAAAAAACAAAAACAACAACAAAAGAATTTTCTGATTTAAAATAATGCTAAATTCGCACGCATGTGAGCACACACACACACATACACACACACACACACACACACACACACACACATTTGTGCTTAGATTCTTCTAGCAAGACATGAGGTGATTCTTTCACTAAACTAATATCAATCAACCTTTTACAACTTTTCTTAGTATCTACCACAATAGTATCTAATGTTTGGATTTTTATTTCTTTAGTTGTGATTGTTGTTGAATTGTTTCCTGTCTGACTAATTTTATAATACTCAAAACCACTTGCTTGAGTCTGTGTGGCTCTCAGACTTTACATTTTAGTTTCCTCACTGGTGCTAGTGTATAAAGTCTAGCTGTATTATAAGAAAGCTTATTCTTTACTAAACATGTTCTCCAGTGTATTGTGTATGGTCTTGTTTAGGAGTAAAAATGCTGGGTAACCATACGCTCTAGTTTGGTAGATGTTGTTAAAGTTTCCAGAGTAGTTGTGCCTTCTTATTTTCTCACCACTAATGTGAGAGCGTCCTCACTCCTCCACATCCCTGTCAACATCTAGAAATACCAGTCTCCTCGTTTTAGCCATCTACTAGGTATATAGTGGCCTGTCTGTGTAGCTGTAGTGATGATTAATAATGTTGTGCATTTAAACATGCTTTTGTAAAGTGCTTGTTATACCCCTGTCCATTTTTCTTTTGGGTTGTCTGTTTCTGTGTGCATGCACATGCCTTTACCTCTTCTGGACACTGTTCTCCTTTATGAGCTGATGGTGGGGCCTGTCTTCTCCCACACCGTTAGTACTTGGTTCTGTGTACATGCACATGCCTTTACCTCTTCTGGACACTGTTCTTCTCCTTTATGAGCTGTTGGTGGGGCCTGTCTTCTCCCGTACCGTTAGTACTTGGTTCTTGGACTCTGTTTCATCATTTACCATCTTTTATTTCATGATTAGCACTTGTAGTGTTCTGTGTAAGAAATCTTTTTGTTGAAATATTACTCTTTGTCTCCTAAAAACTTCTTCACATTTAAATTTGCTGTAATTGATTTTTTTAAATTATTTTATTGTTATTGTTTGTGTGTTTCTATGTTCATATGACATGGTGTATACATGAAATTCAGAGGACGACTTTCAGGAGGCAGTTCCCTCCTTCCACTATGTATGTTCCAGGAATAGAACCCAGGTCATCAGGCTTATGTGGCAAGTGCTTTTATGGGGTGAGCTATAGGTCAAATTCTGATCCCCTCTCAGGTAATTTTTGAAAGACCATTTTTAGTGCTCAGCAAAGTCACCTTTGTTAAAAATCAAATATAATAGGTGAGGTTTTCTTTTTTATGTTTTTTTAGTTTTTTGAGACAAGGTTTCCCTGTGTAGCCCTGTCTGTCCTGGTACTTGCTCTGTAGACCAGGCTGGCCTCAAACTCACAGAGCTCTGCCTGCCTCTGCCTCTGCCTCCCGAGTGCTGAGATTAAAGGTGTGCACCACCACCACTCAGCTAATATGTGAGATTTTTAAAGGAAAATGGTGGCTTTATTCTGTTGAGTTGATCTGTCACCATCCTAATAACATGCACATTACCATGTTGTGAAATTATAGGAAGTGATTGTTTCTGGAATGTAAGAGACCCTCTACCTAGAATGTTTTTCTTCAAGATTATCATATAAACCATTCCTAAATTTTTTTGTTTTCATGTGCATTTTATTCCTAATTAAAAACAAATTAAAGGTAGTGAGGAATCTTTAAATCAATGATAGCATCAAGATTTGTCTAAAGACTTTTGTAACAATTGTTTCAATTCAAATGTAGAAAACTTTATATTAGGATTAAAGAATGTCTTTGCTATTTCAGTATTCATTGTACATTTTCCTGTAGACTAATGACTTTAATTTTTATGCTTATGGTTATAGAACATATTTGTTAAAAATTTCACAGAGAACCTGTAAGATTATAAAAACATATACATATAAAAATACAGTTAAATTGTTTGGTTTTTGTTTTTTAGGACATCTGTGACAACAGTCTTCTCTAATTGAACTTTTTCGAGATTCTCTGAAGGAGCCAATAGGACTTTTCTGCATCATGACTTAATCTGAATACAAGAACAAAAAATAAATTTTATTTTTAAGTATAATGAAGGGCTGCGTATGAACACTGACCCCCAACTAAATTCTAATGAGCATTTTAGACATGAGTTTACATCGGCAAATGGGTTCAGATAGAGATCTTCAGTCTTCTGCCTCATCTGTGAGCTTGCCTTCTGTCAAAAAGGCACCCAAAAAGAGAAGAATTTCAATAGGCTCGCTCTTTCGGAGGAAAAAGGACAACAGGCGTAAATCAAGGGAGCTCAATGGCGGAGTGGATGGAATTGCAAGTATTGAAAGTATACATTCTGAAATGTGTATGGATAAGAACTCCATTTTCTCTACAAATACCTCTTCTGACAATGGATTGACTTCAATCAGCAAACAAATTGGAGACTTCATAGAATGTCCTTTGTGCCTATTGCGGCATTCTAAAGACAGATTTCCTGATATAATGACATGTCACCATAGATCTTGTGTGGATTGCTTACGACAATACCTAAGGATAGAAATCTCTGAAAGTAGAGTTAATATCAGTTGTCCAGAATGTACCGAACGGTTTAATCCCCATGACATTCGCTTGATATTAAGTGATGATGTCTTAATGGAAAAATACGAAGAGTTTATGCTTCGACGATGGCTTGTTGCAGATCCTGACTGTAGGTGGTGTCCAGCTCCAGACTGTGGGTGAGAACATACCGTTTGGCTTTTCTTAGTTTGTTTTTCTCTAGGGATAAGACAAGAATTTTCTTGTAGTCTAAAAAACAGTCTTAACACTCTAAATAGCTTATTTAAGAACAAAACATTTTGGGTATATACCGTACTAAGTATTGAAATTCAGAAATCCTAACTTGTTTTTATATTGTCTCTGTTAAATTATTACCTACATTTTGTGAAGACAACTGCTGGTGAGATGGTGGGGAACAGGATTAAGTTATAAGCAAATTTGAATGTCCTCACCCATGAACAGTTTTTATTTGGGGATAACAGAATGCTCAGTGTTAGGGTTATTTGTTGTCATAAATAAATGATGCTTTTGAAAGGCATTTATACCACAAATAAGTGTGTTTGTGTTCATATGTGAACATTTTCAGGTCTCAAAAATTGCTACACAGGAATTCTATAATTCATTACCTCAAGTTCTAAATGACAAATGTCATTTCCTCCGCATTTAAAAGGAAATAATTTTGCATATGTATTAGATTATTATGTAACTGCAGCCTGCATGTTGTGTGGTTGTCAGAACTAAGAAAAACCAGATATTTGCCCTTTAAGTTAGTTATATGCCCTTTATAGTAAGAGCCACAAAAGGGAGGTAGCTCATTCGGTAAAATGACTGCTTTGCAAACATGGGGGACCTGAGTCTGGATCCCTAGAATCCATGTCAAAAAGCTGGGCTTGGTGGATATACCTGTAGCTCCAGTGCTAGGGGCCAGGCAGAGATAGGTGGTTCCTGAAGCTCGTTGACCAGCTAGCCTAGCTAAATTAATGATTGAAGGAAGACAGCCATTATCAGCCTCTGGCCTCACGTGCATGTGCCTCCAACATACTTGTGTGTACATACCCTACACATAGCACAAAAAAGACATATAAGACTACTAAAAAGATACACAATCCATGAATAGTAAAATTTAACATACTATTAGTATCCCATACATTATATAAGTAGAACTTATGAAAACCTGGAATTTCTATATTATTTGATTATAGATCCAGGAAAAACTAGGATGTGAGTTTTGTGGTGATATATTGTGTCCCCCAAAATATTGTGCATCCTAATAAACTTATCTGGGGTCAGAGGACAGAACAGCCACTAGATAGACATAGAGGCCAGAAAATGGTGGCACACACGCCTTTAATCCTATCACTTGGGAGGCAGAGATCCATCCGGATCTCTGTGAGTTCAAAGCCACACTGGAAACAGCCAGGCATGGTGACTCACACCTTTAATCCCAGGAAGTAATGGCAGAAAGCAGAAAGGTATATAAGGCAGGAAAACCAGGAACTAGTCTGGCTAAGCTGTTAGGCTTTTGAGCAGCAGTTTGCCTGAGATTCATTTGGGTGAGGACTCAGAGGCTTCCAGTCTGAGGAAACAGGATCAGCTGAGGAATTGGTGAGGTGAGGAAGCTGTGGCTTGTTCGGCTTCTCTGGTCTTCCAGCATTCACCACCAATACCTGGCTTCAGGTTTGATTTTATTAATAAGACCTAAGATTCGTGCTACAGGGTTTATTAAATTATAGTTTCAGAATTTATTGCATGAATCAAACTAGTTTTTAAAAACTTGTTGAGTAAATTTTCAGATTGCATCTAGTCTATATTCCCTAATTTTAAATGGAAAAAGTTAAGTATTCCCCATCTGGGTAAATCAGTGAATACACAACTGTCTACCAAGGCTTACTGTGTCATATAAAGCATTAAAAAACTTAGTTACTTAATACTTTATGAATTCATTAGTTGTGTAAGTCTCAGATAGAATATAGTATCAGATTTGAATTATGCTTCCCGATACTAAAGAGTTTCTGTTATAACAAAAGCATACATTAACAATACTATATAAGGGCTTATGGGTGTAGTTCAGTGGGTAAGGTACGTGCCTAGCAAGTGTGAGGTCCAGGGTCTGATCCGCAGCACAGCATATAAACTGAGGATGTTGGTGCATGCTTACAATTTTAGCACTTGGAAGGTGGAAGCAGGACAATCAAGTTCAAAATCATCCTCAGCCACATAGTAGGTTCAGAGTTAGCCAGGGCTACATAAGACCCTTCCTCAAAAATAAGCTGGTAGTATGTATGTGTGTATGTAAAAAGAAGGTAACTCTTTAAACTAGGCCACAGCCAGCTGAGTTTCCAGGGGTAATGGCAGAACCAAACTCCGGGATCTGTGATAAGTTACACTCTGTGTCTAGAAAATAGGATTAATGAGCAATGGTTTCAAGTAATCTGAGCGAGAGAGTATCCTATTTAGACAGCTTAGATGCGATTGTGTCACTCGGGAGTGTAGGGACCACTTGTACAGTATTTTCACTGGTTCAAGAGTGAACATCTTTCTCCTCAAATTAGATTTTGAGTTGGGCAAAACATTTTACCTTATCCTTTTAAGAATCATTATATCTACTGCTCCCATAAAACACTTCAAACACTGAGAAATGATTTCTGTTGTATATATCATGTGGAGGAAGAATGTGGTTTTCAAGAGTATTTTTCATAGAACCCCAGGACACGAGTTATTTAATGAAGTGTCAGAAACTGTGGCCAGCATAAACTGAGACAGTAAATCTAAGGGCCCACAACTTCTGGTTGATAAATAGCTCTGTATTATCTTGTCACCACACATAATACATTAAACAGAATCAGAGCAGCTTACAGAGGTAGTTATAGAAGTAAAATAAGAAAATATACATGGATAATTTACTCACTTGCCACATTATCTATTAAAATCGAGTACACCTTACAGTAGAGAGATTAACACCAAGAGAAACAAAATAGGAACACCTAATTCAATAAATTATATTCTTAAAAACAAATTTATGGTGGTTATATAAATGTAGTAAAGAATTATCCCTCATTAATTTGGCTGTACAGTAATTTGGTGTTGATGATTGTCAGTAGTCTTTACTACAAAGGACAGAAAACTAGTTAGAGTCCCTTTATTTTTACATTATTGTTTGTGCTGGCTCTCTAGAGATTAAGAGCATAATTTATATGTAGCTGGTAATGTTACAGGTGTTATATTGGTATTGTATAGAAAACTTTACCCACTAACATAAAACTTGTATGCATAGTTTGAGCATCATGAAGGTGGATGTTGGGAATCAAATGTGGGTCTTCGGCAAGAGCAGCCAGCGCTCTGAATTATTGAGCCGTATGTATCTCCCATTGCTGCCATTTTAAAACAGACAAACATAAAAACCAGCCTTTCTTAGCATTAGCCTTTGAACTTAAGACTACAAAATGATCTCCCATTTTGCCCCTCTTCTAGCCTCTTCATTCCTTCAGGAGAAGGTAAGATATGGAAGAGGCTTAGAATAAAATGTCTTTTTCTTTTTCACTGAAATTACCATTTTTTCTTTTTTCTTTTTCAAGACAGGGTTTCTCCATGTAGCTTTGTAGCCTGTCCTGGATCTCACTCTGTAGACCAGGCTGGCCTCCAACTCAGAGACCCGCCTGCCTCTGCCTCCCAAGTGCTGGGATTAAAGGCATGCGCTACCATCACCCAGCTGAAATTACTATTTTTATATAAAAACTTGACTTTAAATCATATACTTTAAAAGTTGAAAATAAAATGTAGATTCTTTCCCCCACTCCTGGGACTGCAATGAATTAGCCATCCTTTAAAAAAGATGTTTTAATAAGTATTATTTTTATATGTATGGGTGTTTTGCCTACATGTAAAGTCTGTGAACCACATGTATGCAGTGCCCATGGAGGCCAGAAGAGGACATCAATCCCTTGTGCCTGGAGTTAGACAGTTACAAACCACCGTGTGGGTGCTAGGACTCTAACTCAGGTCCTCTGGAAGAGCAGCAAGTGCTCTTAAATGCTGAGCCGTCTCTCCAGCCCCTCATTGGTTCTCTTAAAATCTAGGGAAGTGAAATGCTGCTAAATTACTGTTTTGATTTAAATTGCCATTAATTCTGTACTATTTTAATGTAAATTCTCCCAGAAGTAAAATAGAATTTAAGGTGCAGAGTTTAAATTTGAAGGATGGGATGCTTAGGAGAGTAGTAAGTCACAAAGGGAGGAATGCTCGTCTGTTTAAAATCCTGCACAATTGATGCAAATGGACTTGGAATTTGATACAATCTTAGCTATGATTATTACTTAAATTTTGTTGCCAATAACAAGAACACCAAAACTCCCCTAAGTTTCCAGGAAATATTTGATATTTAAAAATAAATAAACACAAAAATCCCCCAAAACTTAAATATAGACAAATTTATTTGATACTGCTTTCAAAGAGAGCTAAAATGCTCTTTGACAGTTCATTTGTATGGTTGTATGTATATGCACTTACAGGAATAGAGCTGCCCTTACGTGTGATTCACAGCTTGTCCTCCTCCCCCATTCCCATTTTACAAAGATGTAGAACATTATCACATGATTGCCACTTCTGCTATATAAGGATATTGGCATTGATACAGTGTATTAGTTACTTTTCTGTTGCCATGGTAAAACATCATGCCCAGGGATGAGACCATCACCACCATCGTGGGGAAGCATGGCAGCAGGCAGTCATGGTGGAAGGGACAGATGAGAGCTGGCATCTCGGCTTGCAAGCAGTAAGCAGAGAGAACAAAATGGGAAAGGCACATGACTTTAGAAACTTTAAAGCCCACCCCTAGTGACATGCTTCCTCCAGGAAGACCGCACACCCTAATCCTACCCAAACAGTACAGCAAACTGGGGACTAAATATTCAAAAGCCTTTGAGGGTTGAGGAGTATGAATCATTCAAATCGCCACACACAGTCTAGTCTATTGGTTTTACTCAGATTTCTCTTTTTACATGGACTAGCTAATTTATGTGGGGTGGATTTACTTACATGGGATTTTTATCAGGTGTAGGTTTGTGTGCCTGTATCACAGTCAAGGATATCACAGTGTTGCCAGTTACAGCCCCATTCATGCCTTACTTACCAGCTAACTGCAGAAGCTGAGGCAGGATCACAAGTTCAAGGTCTGCCTGACTAATAGCAAGTTCAGAGGCAGCAATTTAGCAAGACCCTGTCTTAAATTTAAAATAAAAAAACAAAAATCCTTTTTAAGGGCCATAATCCTTCATGTCATTGTCTAACGGTGTTTACTTCCACTCCACTTTTTCCTGGAACCCTGGCAGTCATTGATCTAGTTTCCATTTCTGAAACCTTGTCATTTCAAGTGTTACATATACTGAGGCATATAGCTTGTAACATTTTAAAACTGACTTTTCTTTAACTCAGTGTCATTCCTCAGAGATTTCTTTGTCTTGTTATTTGTGTCCATCATTCCTTTGATTGAATAGTATTTGGTGGTGTGCATGTATACACCACAGTTTAACTGAGTAGTATTCTGTGGTGTGCATGTATGCACCACAATTTAACCATTTGCTTGTTGATGGACAGCTGAGCTTTTTCCCAGTTGGGGCTATTATGAATACATCTGCTATGAAAGTTGATGTGAAGAAAATTGAATTTCTCTGGGCCAGATGTCTAACAGTACCCAAATTTAAGTTAAAAAAATTTAAAGTATCGAAAATATTTACTCAGAGAATAGACATTAAGGCTAATCATAAATGTATTCTTCATCTTTTATTTGATCCCAGATACCCTGTTTTAGTTCGAATAAAGTCTATTTGTATTAAATTATTATGTGACATTGTTTTTTGTTGTTGTTTTGTTTGAGATAGGGTCTCATTATGTAGCTCTGGCTGTCTTGGAACTCACTCTGTAGACCAGGCTGGCCTTGAACTCACCTGCCTCTGCCTCTGAGTGCTGAAATTAAAGACATGCACCCCCACACCTGGGTAAAATTTGAAAGTAAAGAATTTAGAATTTTTTAAAGGTATTTATGTTACTTTCGTTTATGAACTGTCATTTTTCTTTTTTTCATGTTGGTGAGGTTGTGTTAGGGTTTATGGTATTTTATTAATGCATATCGGAAAAGTGTTTTCTGAGTAGCATTTTAATTGGATGTTTCTTAAATTTTTACTGAATTGATCTTGTTTTGTGTCACATTTTAAATCATTTTCCTTGTTCTTTCAAGATATGCCGTGATAGCATTTGGATGTGCCAGCTGTCCCAAATTGACCTGTGGGCGAGAAGGCTGTGGGACAGAGTTTTGCTACCACTGTAAACAGCTCTGGCATCCAAACCAGACCTGTGATGCTGCTCGGCAGGAGAGAGCCCAGAGTTTACGCTTAAGGACGATACGTTCTTCATCCATTAGTTACAGCCAGGAGTCCGGAGCAGCAGGTAGTAGGTCTGTTTTTAGTGTGTGTGTGTGTGTGTGTAGGTGGGGAGAGAGTGGAGATGAGAGGATAACAGAGTACTGGTCCTCACCTTTGGTTGTCTGAGACAGGTGTCTTGTTTTTCTCTGCTGTGTACGTCAGGCTAGCGGGCCTGTGAACTTGCAGGAATTCCTGTCCTTGCCTTCTGTCTCAGCACAGGAGCACTGGGATTGCAAGTGTGTGCACTTCTGTGTCTGACTGTGTATAGAGATTGCTTGGTGATTTTAATGTAAAGAATATTCAGTTACCATTAATTACCTTATTTTCCCTTTCCTGTTAAAATGTGTTTTATGTTTTACGCGTGTTTCTGTCCTAGAAACCTTATTCTTGATGTATTTTTGTTTAATAAATCCAGAAAGTGGTTCTGAGATGGAAAGAGTTTATTGTCAGTGACAGCAGAAAAAGAAAGCTGCCTGACTCTTTGTGTGCTAGACCACTAGATACAGTCTGCACCTATTACTCATAAATGCATGGTACACAGAACTTGTAAATACATTTAATAAAATAGTAATTTGGAGTGGAACAATTTACAATTATTTCTGTTTGTATAAAGACCACACAAAAGTTTAATCTTTTAAGTATTTTGTGAAATTTAAAACATTTCAGATATATTCTAGGAGTAAGGGCATAAAAATCATACTTTACTTGGGAAGACACACAGAACTTAAGTATGTCTTTGGTAAGGAAATTTAAAAATTACCTAGGGATCTGTTTGTAAAGCATACATCTCATAAATCACAAAATAAAAATTAAATTTTTTTTTTAAAAAATCTCAGATGTCGGGCTGGAGAGATGGCTCAGAGGTTAAGAACACTGACTGTCCTTCCAGAGGTCCTGAGTTCAATTCCCAGCATCCACATGGTGGCTCAAAACCATCTGTAATGAGATCTGGCTCCCTCTTCTGGCCTGCAGGGACACATGCAAACAGAACACTGTATACATAATAAGTAAATAAATCTTTAAAAAAACACAAAAACCAAAAAACTCAGATTTCTTAATGTTCTTTGAATGATCAAAAAAAGTCACTATTTCCTATTAACAGAATTTTCTTTGTTCATTGGAATTTTAATCCCTAGAAAACATTTTGTCTTGATAATTACAACGGAAAAATTTCAAAAATATAGAAATCGGTGTAAAAAAAGTGAGACTGTCATGTACTTTATCCTGCTGGAGAAAAAGTCTTTTAAGCTTTAATATGGGTTTAATAATTTATACAATATACTTGGGTTTTCATTCCTATTTGCTTAGTGGCTTGTTTCTATCTCCTCTCCTGAAGATTTGGGGAGAATGCAAAGATATTAGCAGTAATTGTGATAATTCAGTTAAGGATCCAGAAGAATTTTTTTAGCGAGGACCTGTTCCTGAAGAGTTAGCAGTAGCCATTGGATGTTTCCTTGAAGAGTGGAGGAGGTATTTTTGGTCACGGCGTACAGGCATGTAGGGTAATAGAAAGGACTCCAGAACCAGATTTGGAATCCAGAATCTGGACTGAATTTAAGGTCCAGACTCTCCTCTTCCTCTGTGTGACCTGAGCAAGGCGCTACTCTCATCTTCAAAATGAAGACAGTACAACGCTTATGTCTGTAGGGTTGCAATATTTCTGCCTCATACATGTTCTTATAATGTTAGATATGGAAACACCACAGAAATCTGCTAGAGATTTGGGCTTGTGTGAACCAGCATTAAATCAAAAAGAACATTGAAGTGGCTTTTGTTACTTTTTAAATGAACATTATAACTTAGTTATCTAAACAAATATTGAGCTTCCTCCAAGTAGTCACCATGGGAGAGTGTATGTAGCCATGTTATACTGGAATGCTTGCTGGCATAACTAGCAATTTCTGCAAAGGTAGTATCAGTTTACTTCCATTTGGTTATCTTTTAAGATAACCAAAAGTTCTTTTATAGCTAAATAAAACTAATGATATCATGCCATGTAAATCAGGGATTTTGGTTCAGGTATGTGTGCAGCTTTCTGATGTTGTGACATGCATTGTTATCTAGTTCACACTCTAGAACTATGCAATTTAGTTGCCCCCACCCTCAAAAAAGTCTAAAAATCATTTCATAATATTTTATTAAGTTTACAATTTTATGTTTACTGCTTCTTTTTTTTTTTTTTAAAGATTTTATTTATTAATTATGTATACAGTGTTCTGTCTGCACGTGTACCTTGCAGGTCTGAAGAGGGCACCAGATCTCATTGCAGGTGGTTGTGAGCCACCATGTGGTTGCTGGGAATTGAACTCAGGACCTCTAGAAGAGCAGTCGGTGCTCTTAACCACTGAGCCATCCCTCCAGCCCCATGTTTACTGCTTCTTAAGCAGATAGAATTAGTATTTCTTTTTGATGTGTACATCAAAAAGTTTTAGGTATAAAAGCTAACCTTTTTCTTTTCTACCCTATGTTTAAAATTTGTAATGCAAATGTTATAGTCGTTGGGTCATTTAAATCATAATTTATAAATACTTTTACATTTTATATTCTAGAAATGATCATTTCTCTTTGTCTTTGACTGCTTAGAACTGTTGGTTTGCTCAAAATAGCTTGAATTGTTAAAACACTTAATGTGAGCCTTACTAATTCTTAGTTATAAACAACTTTAGCCTTTCAAAAAACACTAAGGAAACTTGAATTCATTGATAAAGCAGTTAAAAACTGAGCATAAAACTTGCAGAAATGAAAATAGAATATTAGCTTAATGTTTATAAAATAGCATAAACAAATACTTAAACTCAGTGGCTAGCATTGTAAATACATTTTCTAAAAAATTACATATAGATAGACAATGTAACTGGCTAATAGTAACCGTTAGATAGCTGTAGGCTGTTATTTAAAGAGCAGCTAGAATTCTAAATGGTGGTATAACTCTTATTCTTTGTTGAAACCTAAGGTTATCTACCATGATATTTTTAACTTGGCATTGTTGTGCATTTTGTAGCACATTAGTATAATGCAGTTGCACCAACAACTCTTGAATGAATGAACAGAAAAGATGGAGACTGCTTATTAGCAGTCATGAGGATAAGAATGGTTACATTTATTCTAAAGCTATTCTCTATGAGCTATAGTGTTCTTAGTTGATGTTATTATAATAGAAAAGGGAGTGTTTGTGTACAGTGCCTTAGGTGACTATGAAGTGGTCACTCCCTAATGGTGCCTCTTCACTAAAGGGCAGCATACAGGAGTTTGAATTCCTCTGTTATTATTCTTGGTTCTCATTGCTTTGCTACCATGTTTGAAAATGGTTACAACCTGAAAATTTAGTACAAAGTATATTTCCTAAAAGGAAAGAAAAAATTGTTTTCTATACTAAAAGCAGCAGGCTAAAATTGCCATTTACTGAATGTAATTGCAAAGATTTGTTTGGGCAGTTTTACAGCTGCTAATCTGGAAACCATTTCTACACACTTTAAATTTTCTTGTCTGTGTTCCTCATAGCTGATGATATAAAGCCGTGCCCACGATGTGCTGCTTATATAATAAAGATGAATGATGGGAGCTGCAATCATATGACATGTGCTGTCTGTGGTTGTGAGTTTTGTTGGTTGTGCATGAAAGAAATATCCGATTTACATTATCTAAGGTAAGCTTATGGAGAGAACTATTTATGAATAGACTTTACATTGTATATCAGAGTTTTTGTTTTGAAAACAGTATGTCTTAGTTGGGTTTTTATTGTTATAAAGAGACACCATGACCACTGCAACTCTTATAAAGAAAACATTTAATTGAGGTGGCTTACTTAGAGTTTCAGAGGTTTCTATTATCCTCAGGATGAGGAACATGAAGGCCTGCAGACAGATGTGGTGCTGGAGCTGAGAGTGCTACATCTGGCAGGCAACAGGAAGTCGACTGACTGTCACACTGAGGGAAGCTTGAGCAAAAGAGACTTCAAAGCCCGCCCCCACAGTGACATACTTCCTCCAACAAGACTACACCTACTCCAACAAGGTCACACCTCTTAAAAGTGCCACTCCCTTTGGGGGCCATTTTCTTTCAAACTACCACATTCCACTGACCCCCAAAGGCTTGTATCCATATCGTATTGCAAAAGTACATTCAGTCCAACTTCCAAAGTCCCCATAGTCTATAATAGTTCCAAACTTGTTTCAAAGTCCAAAGTGTCTTCTGAGACTCATGCAGTCTCTTAACTGTAATCCTCTGTAAAATTGAAATAAAAAAGCAGATCACATACTTCCAACATACAGTGGCACAGGATATACATTACTATTCTATAACACAGGAAAGGGAGCAAAGCAAGGAAATTCTGGGCCAAAACAACACTGAAAACCAGCTGGGCAAACTCCAAACTCTGCATCTCCATGTGCCACCACACCCAGCTCTAAACTTTAATTCATCTTCACAAGTTAGAAACTTAGCTGGGTAGGATCTTGCCCTGGGGTCACCACTCTCTATATTCCATTTCTTAATCCATTTATCTCCTTGAACATAGGATTTGGCTACATTCCACTCCCAGGTGCTCTTTTTCTCCTCAAAATTTGCATTTTGTAATTTACCCTGCTCCCCTTGCCCCTTGACACTATAAATCTTCATTAGAGTTACCACTAAACTAAAACCACACAACAGAGTTGTACTAGGCTGTTTTGAGATTTCTTCTGCCAATGAAATTAATCCAAAACTCTCCACTTTAGCCTCAGATAGACCCTTCGGACAAGGGCAAAAGGCAGCCACTTCCTTCACCAAAATATCACAAGAACAATCTCTAGGCAACATACTAAACTTCTCTGAAACCCCTTGAGTGACGCTACCACCCCCTGACAATTTCAGTAACTCTTACACTTCCACTCTCCTAATAGTATGGCCCATTAAGCAACAATTAAAGCATTCCACTTCTTCCATAACCCAAAGTACCAAAGTCCAAATTCCTCCAGACAGAAACATGGTCAGGCCTATCACAGCAATACCCCAGTCCCTGGTACCAATTTCTGTCTTAGGGTTTTATTGCTGTGAAGAGACACCATGACTACTGTAACTCTTATAAAGGAAACATTTAATTGGTGTGGCTTGCTTACAGTCTCAGAGGTTCAGTCCATTACCATGAGGACTGGGAGCATGATAGCCTACAGGCAGACATGGTATTGGAGCTGAGAGTGCTACATCTTATAGGCAACAGGATGTCTACTGACTGTCACACTGAGTGAAACTTGAGAAGAGACCTCAAAGCCCGTCCCCACAGTGACACACTTCCTGTAACCACACCACACCTACTCCAACAAGGCCACACCTAATAATGTCACTTCCCTTTGGGGGCTGTTTTCTTTCAAACCACCACACAGTATTAACCTAAGTATTTTTATTCTGAGGTTTATAAGTTACTTAAAAAGATGGATTGTATTCCTATTTACATAAGTTTAAAAACTACCAAGTTATACTTAAATAACTTAGATAGGAAATAGAGGTTCCTTTGTTTTTACATTGTTATTGTTGAACTTTAGTGCTAATATTTGCTACTCTATACAATTAATCCAGCTCTTAATTTTCTTATAAATAAATTTTCTCATTTAGGCCCCAACATGAATTTATGATGTAATTACATACTTGTGTGCCTAAAATGGAGATAAAATAAACATTTTATTTTACATCAGTATAGTCTTCAGAAACTGAGGTTTTGAAGGTCATGGAGAACTATGGATAAATTTTAAATCATAACTAGCAATATCTTGTTCATGTAACTTAAAGTTGTGTCTTTAATATTTTGGCTTTTAAATGAACCCAAAATACACAAAGGGGGGCGGTGGTGGTTAAGTATGAGAGACTCCCTTCTGCAGTTGTTGCTCTGGTGTGTTGTTGTCATCTGTTGTACTGTTTCTGAACAGCCACTGTATGGTTTTCCTCTCAGTCCATCAGGTTGTACTTTCTGGGGGAAGAAACCCTGGAGCCGGAAGAAGAAGATCCTGTGGCAGCTGGGGACCCTTGTTGGCGCTCCGGTCGGGATCGCGCTGATAGCCGGCATTGCCATCCCTGCCATGATCATCGGCATCCCTGTGTATGTGGGCCGCAAGGTGAGCTCTTCTCCTAAATGGTTGGCGCGTCTTCTTAGAACTGAAGTGGCTTTGCTTTGTTTTTAACACAGGAGTTGGTTTTAGTTGGTTGGTTTTCTTTTATTTATTTATTTTTTTTTGGTTTTTGGAGACCGGGCTTGGCCTCGAACTCACAGAGATCCGCCTGCCTCTGCCTCCCAAGTGCTGGGATTAAAGGTGTGCGCCACCACCGCCCGGCTGGTTTTAGTTTTTCATTATGAAAGTTTTGGACTGGGGATGTAATTCTGTTGGTAGACTTTTTTCATGGAGGAAGTCCTGGATTTGATTCACGTAAACTGGGTGTGGTGTCCCATACCTGTAATTCCAACACTCAGGAGTTCAAAGTCATCTTCCGGATGCAGCAAGTTTGAAGCCAGCCCATATATCTCAAAAATAAATAAGTAAACTAACAAAAGTCCCCATTTTACACAGTAAACGCTCAGTGCTTGGCAAGCTAATATGTGTGCATAAAAAGCAGCCTTCCTTTGAAACTGTTACAGTCTGCACTACAGATTCAATGCCTGGTATAAAGTTTTGAAGGATAATCGACATTGTTCTCTCTTGGGTATATCCTTTTAAAGTTATTTCTGTAAGATCTTCAAGATAGAAATTCATGGCTGCATAATTCGTGCCCTCAAGCAAAGAATAGTTAACCCGTTCTTTAGTTCTTTACTCTTCAGTTCAAAGCCTTTCCACCTCCATTGTATGCTGCTGTTTATAAGTACAGTTTACAAGTTATAACAGTCTATGTGGTAATCCAGACACCGGCATTTTCTAATCCTGCCATTCTCATCATTAGCTAAGCAGTCACTTCTTTGGGAGAGTTATGGGATAACTTATGAAGTACTAGGAAGCCTGTTGCCATCTAAATTAAATTAATTGAATGTCAAGAAATTACATGATCCTAACACAGTCAGAACAAAGAGAACAGTTTTTCAGAGGGGAATTAATAGTTGAAAAGCCCAAACTTTAATGGCAGGTGATTTATAAGCCTGCATTAGTCTTTTTTGGGGAGGCAGGGGTGTCTCACTGTATAGTCACTATATAGTCCTGGCTAGCCTGGAACTCACAGAGATTCCCCTGCCTCTGCCTCCCAGAGGGAAAGTGTGTTTCATCACACCCAGCCATTGAGGGATCCTCATGTAGCACCCTGGGTATTTTAGCTTCTAATCGATGTGGTGAAATAATGAGTTTTACATTTACTTGGTTATGGTATGTGTGTGGACACATGAGTAGAGATCAAAGGACAGCTGCTGGAATTGGTTTTTTAACCTCTACCGTGTTGTTCCAGGGTCATACTCTGGCTTGACAGCAAATACTGTTACCCCTCTGAGCCATCCTGCCAGCCTAATACTGTGGTTTAGAAAAGGGATTTGGGTCCAGGTGAATGAATTCAGTGTATGAAGCCATCATAGATTTCAGTCTAGCCAGTCGGACACCCAGTCCTGGAGAAAGCACCAACTGGAGAGGAAGCCGGTGCTCTTGCCACGTGACCGCTGTTATTAGACAGTACTTAGGCTGACTCCAGCTGTCTCCTTTGTGTCCTTTAATTCTGTTTCTGAGCTCTGCTGCTAAACTCAGGGTAAGAATGATCCTCTTCCATAGACAGCTGTGTTTATTTCATTGACATGAGTGTTTGCCTGCATGGATACCTGTGTACCATGTGTGCCTGGTGCTTGCAAAGGCCAGAAAACAGCGTTAGGTCATAGAATGGCGGTTCTCAATTTGGGGGCTGTGAACCCTTTATGGTCAAACAATTCTTTCATCGAGGTCGCCTAAGACCTTCAGAAAACACAGGTATTTACATTGCAGTTCTTAACAGTATCAAAGTTACAGTTATGAAGTAGCAACGAAAATGATTTTGTGGTTGGAGGTCACCACAACATGAAGAACTGAATTAAAGGATCAGAGCATTAGGAAGGTTGAGAACCACTGCTCTAGAGTTACAGACAGTTGTGAGCTGCCGTGTAGGTGCTGGGAGTCAGACTCAGTCCTTTGCAAGAGCAGTGGCATGGACTGTTAACTGCTGAGCCATCTCTTCTAGCCCTGAAAATACAGTCTGAAAAACAAAACAAAAAACATTATTTTTTAATTAGTTTTGATAGAAAGGCATATAGCTTCTTGGTAGGTACTTACCTAATTTGTAGGAGGTTCTGTGTTAGATCATAGACAGCACAAAAACAAAACAAAAATTTGTTTGTGACTGGTGAGAAACAGAGATATTTCTGTTGATTGTTTATTTCAGAAGGGTCTTAAGTGAGTAACCCTCTAAACTCAATGAGTGGCGCCCCTCTAAACTCAGTGAGTGACGCCACAGCATGGCGTCACTCATATAGCGTGTGCAAGCGCCTGGGTTTGATTCCCAGCACTAGAGAGAAGACAAGTTATCTCCAGTATGAGAACTGTTGCTCTGACTTAAAAAAACTTGACAAGAAAAGGGGTTTATTTGGTTTAGCTTTCTCATCACGGTTGATCATGGAAGGAAGTCAGGACAGGAACATGGAGGCAGGAACTGAAGCACATTCCTTGGAGGAATACTGTTTATTGCTTTTTTTCTTATACAACCCAGGACCACCCACCCACCCAGGGGTGGCACCACCTACAGTGGACTGGGCCCTCCTATATCAATCACTAATCAAGAAAATGCCCACTAGTCAATTTAGTGTGGGCATTTTCTTTTCTTTTCCTTCCTTCCCTTTTTTAAAAAATTTTCCAGGCAGGGTTTCTCTGTGTAGCCCTCCTCCATCCTGAAACTCGCTCTGTAGACCAGGCTGGTCTCAGACTCAGACATCCACTTGCTTCAGCCTCCTGAGTGCTGGGATTAAAGGCATGTGCCACCATGCCAGGCTTAGTGTGGGCATTTTCTCTGTTAAGGTTCCTTCTTCCCAGATGACTCTTAGCTTGTGTCAAGTTAACAAAAAAGTTAACCAGGACAGAAACTGATTTTAATAATTTTTCATGTAGAATACCAAAGAGATTTTTATCAAAAGCAAAACTATTTGCTCAGGTACTTAGAAGTAGAAGGGAAAAAGAGAGACTATCCACACTGGCAGCGAGTTTATGGAGTCACAGCTGGTGACCCAGTACTCCGGAACTAACGCAGGGTGCAGCAGCTACAGGCCGGCTAGTCTGCGGCGCTTTTGTCCAAAGTTGTGAGGGGTTTGTTGTTCCTGGTGTTAGTCACACGCGCACCTAAAGGGCGAGTTGATGGAGTCATTCTTTAATTTTCTGTGGTGTTTGCGATCTGCATTAGCAGGAGAACCTAGTAAATCAAGGAAATGCCTGAAAACTGAGCTTTTGGGTAGAACAAAAGCAAAACATGCTACAAGAATAACCAGCTAGACCTGCCTAAAAGCCCAGCGTTTGTGAGATAGCGACGCAGGCTCAGAAGGTCACCCTTGGCTACGTGGTGAGTTGAGGAGAGAGCCTGCGCTACGTGAAGCCAGTTCTTCACTGAGGGTTTGGGGCCTGCGGAGGGATGGCTTAGTGATTAAGAGCACCACTGCTCTTGCAGAAGAGCTCCCAGTACCAGCAGGCACCCCACAACTGTCTGTAACTCTAATCCCGAGGGATCCGATGCCCTCTCTTCTGGCCTCCGTGGCCACAGGGCACATACATACATGAGACAAATATACATGTAGGTAAAACACCCATACACATATAATAAATAAAAGTTTTTTAAAAATGGAAGAAACTGGAAGGAAAAAAATTAGCAAACAGAAACAGTTAAGTTGAACCAAAAATAATAGGATGATGTGGTCACTGTTACTCCACACGTGGGGTAAGGATGCCAAAGTTGATAGGCTTGTGGTGTACATCTCAGTACTTTGGGGGCCAGCCTGGACTGTATATAACAAGGTTCTGTCTCCAAGAAAAGGAAAGGAAGAAGGGGGGTGGGAGCAAAAGTTGATTGATGGAGGATGTTTTTCCCTCAGCAGCCTGTCCTCACAGATCTACCCTGCGTATGTGTAGGCTTGGCTTTGCTCTGCCACAGGACTGTGTCCAGGAATGGCCTGGAAAGGAGCTGCAGGAAAAAGAATGTGGAAAGGACCTAGCATCTTACTATAGAGACTGACTGCCTGCCTGTGTGGTTTGGAGACTGCTCACAGATGTCATGAAACAGATGGGAAAATACCCTTCTTTAGTTTGCCTCTTGCAGGGCCCAAGAACAAAGCTACTAAACTATTTCCCAGTTTCATGTAATAAGTCACAAGCCAGTCTTAGGGCAGTAATTGTGTTTATGAATGTGGACTATGCAATGATGCTAAGTAGATTTAACTCCTATTCGCTGGTAACCATTACTTTCCTTTGTCTTTACTTCTTTAAACTGTAAATAAGTAGATAGGATTTGGGGTCATCTGTTAATAATTTTCTGTCATAACAAGGTGTCTGGAAAAAAAGTTTTACTTAAGTGATAATTGTTTCATACAGTACCTTTTTAGACTCAACTTTTAGGAGTAAAAAAGACTGTGGCACCCTCTCCTGGGGGCTGGTGCAAAGGAATCCTATTTAGAAAGAAACCTGTGGAACTCTAGTATTGTTTTTGAGACAGAGTCTCATGGTGTAGGCCAGCTTTGAACTAGCAGTGTACACAAGGGTGATGGTGAACTTCTGACACAGGCTGAATCTCCTGAGCCACTGCCGCCCTCCTTCTCTGAGCAGGTCCTTAGTAAGGAGTGAGGTGTGATGCTGCAGTTACCTTGAAGTAGGGCATTTGACTGAAGTTGTGTGAGAAGTGACTTCAGCTTTCTTGTGTGTAAAAGACTATTTCATTTAAACTAAATATGCAATGTTTTTCTTCTCTAAATTTCCATTCCCTTTTAAATTTAAGATTCATAATCGCTATGAAGGCAAAGATGTTTCAAAACACAAGCGGAATCTGGCCATAGCAGGTGGTGTAACACTGTCTGTAATTGTATCTCCGGTGGTAGCTGCAGTGACTGTAGGTAAGAGCATGCTTTAAAACATTACCTCAGATCTTGGGAAGTTGACAGAAGAGGGATTTCTAACTTGTATGTTGCTGTGAGGATTACTTTTAACATGAAGGGTGGTTTAAGTACAACTTAGAGGAGGATTCACAGTAACTTCATTAAAAGTGCTGTAGACTCCAGAACCTAGTTTTAGGGCCAGGGCTCTAGCCCAGTGGTACAGCACATGCCTCAGGCACACATATAAGGCCTTTAGGTTCAATCCCCAAGAACCTATTGTTAGGATAGCTGGTGGATAGCCCTTCCTTCCACTAGAGTTCAGAGACTTGCACTTAAAAAGTTCACAGAATCTGTCTGTCCCTCTGTTACCTGAAGCCCACCTGGGAGTCCTGCCTTTGCTGTGTGCCAGCCTTTGCTGTGTTCCTTAGAACCCTGTGCACCTTCTCCTGAAAAGACCTACACCTCATATTCCGTGATTCAGGTTTTGGTTTCTAATATGCAATTTCATTAATTCCCTTTTAGGCATTGGTGTTCCCATTATGTTAGCTTATGTCTATGGCGTTGTTCCAATTTCCCTCTGCCGCAGCGGGGGTTGTGGAGTCTCAGCAGGCAACGGGAAAGGGGTGAGGATTGAGTTTGATGATGAGAACGACGTGAATGTTGGTGGAGCTAACACGGCTATGGGTAAGTCCTTTAAACAGGAAGAGACGTGCTTGTTTCCACTGTCTTCCGTTACCTAGGCCTCATTATACGAACACTGGCTCACACACTCTCCCTCTCTCTTCCCTTTCCTCTCTGAGACAGGGTCTCACTGTGTAGCCTTGGCTGTCCTGAACTTTGGTGTGTAGACCAGGCTTGCTCTGCCTCAGATGTGCTGGCATTAGAGGTGCATGCCTGACGGCCTGTGGTTTTCATCCGGAAGCATAGCTGTGAAAGGACCTGTGAAGGGCATGTGTGAGAGAGGATGGAGTGATTCTGGGTGCTTAACTCTTACTGAGAATACATCTGGGACTAATGAGAACCTTTTCATACAGTGTTTTGCTTGATACATGATAAACTAGTATGAAAAGGATGTAAAGAGTAATGCAGTTAAAAGAATTGCAGATGGTCAATAAACCAGAAATGTCTTCTGTATCATTCAAAGAAATACAAATTAGAACTGTAGTGGGCAGAAATATTGAAGAATAAAGGCTCCACACACTGCCGGGGGAAGTGTTAGTTGGCCAGCTTGCTTGTTCTGTATCCAGCAGTTTTTGTCACATGTGTTTGTCTTTGTAAATGTCTAAGAATGAAGCCCTTTTGTACCCCTGTGCACCTCTACAGTGTTTCAGCCAGGTCATCAGAACCCTGTCACTTTTCTTTTGTGTACCTTCTCTTGAAGACTCTTGATTGTCTACATGGGGAGCAAGGTGTCCAGTCCTAATTCTCATGTTCTGCCCTTCCCGTCCTGTCTTATACCACCTTTCCTTGAAGAGGACAGTTAATACTCAGAGCTCTTTCTGGGCTTTTACACTTGTAGTTACCTCTGTCTGAAATCCTCTTCTTTGGAATAGTTGTATGGCTCACCTGTTCAGGCCTTTGAGTCTTATAGTGTGACCTTATGAGAGGCCTTCCCTGGTCATGCTGTGAAGCAGTGTGCAGAGATGACACCCAGGCACTGCCCTCACTCCCGCTCCTTCCCCTCGGCTGGATTTCCTCATCGCTTTGGTCATGTGATTGGATATGTACTAGGAACTCAGATACTGCCATAAATACGTGCATTTCTCAGTAGAATTAGAATATAGTCATAACACATCTTGTGATAGTTTATAGACAATTAGAAGTGTGAACTGTATCTAGAAATCAACTTTTGTCCGAATCTCATTGATCTAGAGAATAGGATCTCTCACTGGAACCTAGTGCTGGCAAGGAAGGCCTTTTGAATCATTTGTTCATTTAAAATTCCTAAATCTTCTGGACTTAGCAACAGCAACAGCAAACAGTGACCATCTTAAATTTAGAGCCAGTCTCAGACTGAGCTGTCCCCCTGCAGTAGCTCTCTGTGCCTAACCGTGAGTGTGGTTTGTGCTGTGTCGTCTGCTGTCCTTTCTGAAATCACGTAGGAGTCTAAGGCAGGAAAATGAGTAATCATTCTTCTTCATTTCTTGAATTACTTTACATCTAGACACAACATCAGTAGCAGAAGCAAGGCACAACCCCAGCATAGGAGAAGGGAGTGTTGGTGGTCTGACTGGCAGTTTGAGTGCAAGCGGAAGCCACATGGACCGAATAGGCACCATCAGAGACAACCTGAGCGAGACAGCCAGCACCATGGCCCTCGCTGGAGCGAGTATAACAGGAAGTCTGTCGGGAAGTGCCATGGTCAGTTGTTTCAACAGGTAAGACATAGCTGTTTGCTTTGTTTGTTAGATACAAGACATAAATTAGATGAAAAATCTGAATACAAAGCATGATAATTATCCTAAGGTTAAAAAGTACTGTGTTTGGTACTTACGTTGGAATACAAGGTAAGTCCTGAGAACTACCGTTGCACTTGATGAAGTTGATCTGATAAGTGAGTGCTGGAGCTGCGTTTGTGGACACTGAAGGAAAGGCCGCACTTAGCCTAGACTGTTTCTGTGGTGACAGCTGGATGTTAGGAGTGGGAACAAGTGGAGTCAGGATACCCAAGACGGATGAAGCAGGACTGGAATAGTTTGCCTGCTGCATCCTAAAGTGATAATGGTCAGCTCTCACCAAGTCCTTTATTGATACCATGGAGATAAGGAGGAGAAATTAACGTTGATCTTACCGTGGTTGGCTTGTTTCTCTATTCACTGTTCGGTTTATTAGCTTCTTTATGTGGAGGAAGGTAGGCGAATTAAAAGTCGTATTTATCTTATTTTAGGTAGGTAACAGTTGGATAGAAGCTAAGTTGTAGTGGTATATGTTGTTACCTCTCATTACAGAATCAAATGTGGGCTGAAGTTGTTTATTAGCACCCTTTCAGTATAGGATTTCTTTTCATTATTATTTGAGATAGAGTGTGGGTTGTACTCTGTGTCGTCTGCTGTCCTTTCTGAAATCACGTAGGAGTCTAAGGCAGGAAAATGAGTAATCATTCTTCTTCATTTCTTGAATTACTTTACATCTAGATACAACATCAGTAGCAGAAGCAAGGCACAACCCCAGCATAGGAGAAGGGAGTGTTGGTGGTCTGACTGGCAGTTTGAGTGCAAGCGGAAGCAAGCCCTGGTGTAGCACTGGCTAGCCTAAAACTCACCATATAGGCCAGGCTAGCTTCAAACTCACTGTGACCAGCCTGCTTCTGTCTCCTGTGTGCTGAGATTAAAGGCATTTGCCACTACACCCAGTTAATAGAGGATTTTCTATTTATTAATTGATCTATTATGTTTATTGATTAATATATTTTGACTTTGTAGTTTGTACTGAAACATGACAAAGGACTTCATCCTAGTGAAAATATACTGGAGGTCTTTAAATTCAGATCTGTTTTATTTTGTTTTTCCTTTTGGTAGTATTCTCTTGATCTCTCTTTGATGTTGTTTAATACACCACAGTAAAATCTGCATAATCAAATAAGTGGGAACTGAAAAACTAGTGTCCACAATTTCGATATGTATTGTGATTGCTGAACTATACACGACTGGAGTTGATGTGGTGCCTCCTCTTCAAGGTTGGAGGTGCAAGCAGATGTCCAGAAGGAGCGGCACAGTCTAAGTGGGGAGTCCGGCACAGTGAGCCTGGGGACAGTGAGTGACAGTGCCAGCACCAGAGCAATGGCCGGCTCCATCCTGAACTCCTACCTCCCTCTGGACAGGTAAGAGGAGGTGCTGGTGAGCCTTTAGAGGGAACTGTCTCTCCTACTGGGCAGGTCTCCAAGAAAACAGTGAGGTGTTCAAAGGAGCAAACCCGTCTGGGTAGAGAGTACATCTGTGCTTGCTCAACGCTGGGGAGAGGGAGAACGGGCACTGACTTCTAAGTAATGTAGGTTTGGAGTTGGTAAATAGTGAAAAATGTTCTGAAGTTAGGTCATGGTGATGGTCGTGCCCAGAACAGAAAGCAACACTACTTTTTTCTTTTTTGTTTTTCTGGGTGGGTTTTTTTTTTGTTTGTTTTGTTTTGTTTTTCAAGACAGGGTTTCTCTGTGTAGCTTTGGAGCCTTTCCTGGAACTCACTCTGTAGCCCCGGCTGGCCTCGAACTCACAGAGATCCGCCCCGACTACTATTGTAAAACTTGAAGCATTAAGGGGCTGGAGAGAAGGCTCAGCAGCTGAGTACTTGTTCCAGGTCTAGAAGACCGGGTTCAGCTCTGCACCCACGTTAGGTGGCTCACATCTCCTGTAACTCCAGTTTCTGGGCATCTGAGGCCCTCTTCTGGCCTCTGCTGGCACCTGCTTACACATACACTCAGGTACAAACAAATACACATAAAATAATAAATCTTTTTTTAAAAAGTGAAACATTAAGACAGTCTTTTGGGGCTGTTCATGACAGTGAACGCCTTTAATCTCAACACTTGGGAGGCAGAGGCAAGCAGATCTGAGTTCAAGGCCAGCCTTGTTTACATAGTGAGGTCAGCCAGCGCTGCCAAAAACAAAAACAGGAACAAAGACAGTCCTGTTTTGTTTGTTTGTTTGTTTGTTTGTTTTTTCAAGACAGGGTTTCTCTGTGTAGCCCAGGCTGGCCTCGAACTCACAGAGATGCGCCTGCCTCTGCCTCCTGAGTGCTGGGATCAAAGGCTGCACCACCACTGCCACCAGCTGGCTAAAGACAGTCCTCATCTGTGTTAGTAGAGTAGCCTGCACTGGGATGTTCCAGAAGCTTCTTATGAGGCTTTGGTACTTCATAGGAAAGCCCCTCCCTCCGCCCTCGTCCGACCAGAACAGAGCGAAGCCAGAGCAGTTTCATGTTTGCCTGTCTCCTTGCAGAGAAGGGAACAGCATGGAAGTGCAAGTGGACATCGAGTCAAAGCCGCTCAAGTTCCGGCACCACAGTGGCAGCAGCAGCGTGGAGGACGGCGGTGCTGCCCGGGGCCACACCGGAGCGCCAGCCGGTGGACTGCCCGAAGGGAAGGCTGGTGCCGCCAAGTGGTCCAAAGAAGCCGCCGCAGGGAAAAAATCAAAAGGTGGTAAAGTGAGGAAAAAGGGGAACATGAAGATCAACGAGACCAGAGAGGACATGGATGCGCAGTTGCTGGAACAGCAGAGCACGAACTCGAGTGAATTTGAGGCGCCGTCCCTCAGTGACAGTATGCCGTCTGTAGCCGACTCCCACTCTAGTCATTTTTCTGAATTTAGCTGTTCAGACTTGGAAAGCATGAGAACATCGTGTAGTCACGGTTCCACGGATTGTCACGCCCGCTTTGCGACTGTGAACACCCTTCCTGAGGTGGAAAATGACCGTCTGGAGAATTCACCCCATCAGTGCGGCAGTTCTCTGCTTTCCAAAACTGCTTCCTGTTCAGAAGGCCCGCAGCCGATTCGTGCGGAAGAGCTCGGCACCGGCAGAAGCGGGGTGAAGCCGAGTGGGGATTTGTGCTTTGGCGATGCACTGAAAGAAACAAATAACAACCACCCACAGCAGACAGTGGACCTGAAAGTTGCCATTCACACTGAAATTTAGGCCCGTAATGCTGCAGAGAAATAACCACTGAACAGCCTTGTTTGGAGCTGGTTGAGCCATGTGCGACTGTTAGGTTTAAGTTACCAGCAAAAGCCAGGTTTCATAATCATAATGCAAATACATTTTGTATGTTCAGCAAAGCATTGTGTTTCATGTGGATATTAATTACCAAATTATGAAATGAAGGCTTTAAAAGTGCATTATTAGGAGAATCATAACTTAAGCAAAAGGCATGTTTTGTGTTCTTGTCACAGAACACTGCTGATGCACACACCTGTGTATTTAGATAGAAATTGGCTTCATTATAATCAGACGATCCTCACGCTGTTCTACTGCATTCTTAAGGAAAATGGAGGCTTGGGGTGAGTGGTTAGTGACATTTTATTGAAACCACTAAGGATGGTGTTTGGAGGAACTCGGCAGGTTACTCGGTGTGTGATGCTCTTCGTCACATTTCTCTTCTAGCTGAGCTTCCGTTTCCTTGTTTCTTCACATGCAGTGTGGAGACAAAGCTTCATGCAGCCCGTTGTAACCATTGGATACTTAGACACTTGAGCAAGATTGTGGCAGTTTTTGCACAACTTTGAAGTAGAAATACTTGGTACTGTTACATAGCTCATCTGTTCTTCATGCCGTTTTAGAAGAAAAAGGTAAAAGTAGGTAATTAAGTATCCTGACCACAACAACCACGACATAAAACTACAAAGTGAAATCCCATTAGGACCCAATACCACAAAAGTCACCTTCACTGAGGGGAGTTAGTGCCCTTTGACTCCTGGTGCCTTTGGGAGAGACTGGGTTTTACAAGCCTAGTTATTTGAGGATTTTGCTATATCATTTCCCATAATGTCTTCTCTAGTTACCTTGGATTATATAGAAAAATACAGGAAATAGATAAACGTGAATGTGATTATTAACTATGCTGAAAAAGTATTCGCCTACCAAAGACACACTCAGGCTTTAGTAAATTTAATGTTACATAACCTCAATTTTTAACTTGTCTATCTTTTCGAACCATGAAATCAAAGCAATGCAGAGCTTGCACCAAGCTTCTTCAAAAGGTCTATGGCTTTGTTTCCTTTGGCTTTTGTTTATGGAGGATGCTCAGCTGACACAAGCAGAAGCTGGCCACAATACTGCCTGGACTACTCCCTTCCCACGGAACTCCCAGTAGACTGACCTCACAGCAGCCACATGCTCCACTTTAGGTGTTGCTTTGAAGTATTGCCATGATGGTGCTACTGAGCATTTTCTTTTGATAAAGGAAAATGTCCCGGGCTGCAGTTGTTCACCGTCGTTTCCTCACTGCGTCCATTAACTTGCTTGTATAACACTAGTGCCAGTTATTTTATTTGATAATGCTTATTATGGTATTTGTACATTTGTTTGCATTCCAGTTTTGTTCAATAATGAGTGTGTAAACAGCATACATGAAATAAATGTAAATACTAATGAATTTGGTGCGTGCACAGAAATTTTTACAAGAACAAATACTCATTTGGTGTATTAGTGGGCGTTTTCTAGAGGGACAGAACTGATAAAGTGAATATGTATGTAGAAAGGAGATTTATTGTGGCTTACAGGCTGTGGTTCAGCTAGTCCAACAATGGCTCTCTACCAATGGAAAGCCCAAGAATCTAGTAGCTGTTCAGTCCATGAGGCTGGATGTCTCAGCAGGTCTTCAGGATACACCAGCGAAGTAGGCTCTAATGCCAGTAAAGGAAAGGACTTCACTTCTGCAAAGGGCAGAAGCTTCCTTCTTCATGTCCTTTATATAGGCTGCTGGCAGCCGGTGTGGCCAGATTAAAGGTGGATCTCAGAAGATCCAGATTAAGAGTGGGTCTTCCCATTTCAAATAACTTAATTAAAAATAACCCCTCACAAATGTTTCACCTGCTTGGGTTTTAAATGAATTCCAGATGTAGTCAAGTTCACGACCAAGGATAGCCATCACATTTGCTATATAGCAAAATTCATCAACATTACAAGCCATTGAGATGATTCTGGTCTCAACCCAAAAGAAAATATTTGCTGAACTTTTCAACCAACAGCATTAGAAACCAACCTTTTTCTCCGTATCAGATTCCCACCTTTACCCCAGGGAAAAAAAAATGATTTTACGAGTGAACTGAGGCCAGGTGTGGTGGTGTCCTAGAGGCAGAAGCAGGAAGATCTCTAAGTTCAAGTCCAGCCTTGAACATAGTGAGCTCTAGCCCAGGGTTACTCATTGAGACCCTGTCTCCAGAAATGAAAAGAGTGAGTTGGAAGCTAAGGATGGGGCTCGGCTGTGGAACACTGGCCTAGCATGCTTGAGGCTATGGGTCTGATGTCTAACACTACCTTCACCCCACCCCAAGAAAAGATTTGTTGAATTTTATCTGAGCAAAGAGACCTCTTGTTGAGTTGTAGAATAGATTGTCACTGTAAATTCCCACTGTAGGAAATGAACCCAGAACTTTTAAATTCTCACTAATGGTTATGAAGTCTCTTATAACCTTTATTTAGCCTAATCTCTGTGAATACGTCGACATTTCTACAGAAGTCTAAAAGTTAAAAATGAATGGGAAAGCCAGATACCTTTTAAGGACTACAGCAAAAGTGGTGTCGTTAAGACGCCAGTGTGCCCGTCGGTCTTGCCACCCTCTGGCGGAGCCTCTCTGTACTAGTTACTTGTCTGGTTGCTGGGACAACCCCTGGCAAAAGTAATTTAAGGCGGTCCCAGAGTGCCGCCTCCTGGCGGGAAAGCCCTGGTAGCCAGAGCTTGAGGCAGCTGGTCGCATTTCCTCACAGGAGAGGCAGGTGATGAGTGCTGCCGCTCAGCTTGTGTTCATCCCACTGGCAAGAAGAAGACCACTGCCACAATTTAAAGCCAAATTTGAATCAAGCTTTAAATACTGGCCAGGTGGATGGACTGGCCAGGGCATTCCAGGGTTCCCAGGAAATGGTGACGAGTCACATTTGCCAAGGCTTATAAAGGCAAACCCATAAGGTTATGCATTTCCCATCAGGTCCAGAGGCATGCATATCCTGACGTATTTCCTACCTGTGAACCTCCCTTCTACATCTAGTCATGGGCAAGTGTACATATATACCGCCTACATATTCAAGCCTGTCTTGTGCTGATGGGTCAAACAAACAGGACAACCAGGAACTTAGTCTTTTCCTTTTTTAATTTCATGTGCCTTGGTGTTTTATCAGCATTCATGTCTGTGTGAGGGTATCAGATCCCCTGGAACTGTAGTTTAAGACAGTTGTGAATTGCCATGGGTGCTGAGAATTGAACCTGGGTCCTCTGGAAGAGCAGCCAGTCCCCTTAACCGCTGAGCCATCTCTCCAGCCCAGGAACTTACTCTTGTTAACTGTCTTAACTACAGACAGAACTCTTAGCCTGCGAGGTGTGTTTTCCCGTTTTGGTCTCACCCTTCCTTTCTCCTTTTTCATTCCTGGCCCCCAGCCCAGGGAGGACCCAGAGTGAAGGTGGGTTCACACTGGTTATCCTCGTCTTGATAATCCCTCACAGTATACCCAGAAGCCTGTCTCTTGGGAGAATCTAGATTGTCAAATTGACATTGTTAACCATCACACTCAAGCTCACTTGACAATGAGCCAGACCTTGCAGGGATAGCTTCAAAAGTGCCTTTGTCTGCAGGCCCGGACTTGGATTAATTCATGGAGGACAGTTAAATTAAGGACCAAGTCAGATTCCTCTAGAGTTTAAGTGAAAACCAGCCCCCATTCACTGAAATATTTTATGTGATTTTATTATTTTGTGTAGTGCAGTGTTTTGTCTGTGTACCATGTTCATACAGCGCCCTCAGGCCGGAAGGGGGTGTCACATCCCTTGGGACTGGAGTTACAGTTGAATGAGTTTCCATTTATGTTAGAGCTGAGTTGTTGCTTTGAAGTCTGTTTTGGAGCCTGACCTGCCCTAACCTATGCCCTTGACTTGTTTGACCCTCCCTAACCCTCAGTCCACATGTAGACCACATGGTGGTTTTTGAGACTTTTCTGTATTTCCTTATCGCTCCATTGTCTCTCTTCTGCAAACCTGCTTTGCAAGTACTCATGATTTTATTCCTTAAAAAGGGCCCAAGAAATGGACCCGGGCTGTTCTCTTTAACCCAACTTAGAAGGCAGTCTGCTGGACAGCTCTTGTGTGCACCCCAGTAAAATCAAGTTTGCTTCAAATTTGGCTCAAGATTGTGGTAGTGATCTTACCACTCCCTGGCTCATAATTTACCAGTCTTATTTGTGCTGGAAATTGGAATAATTTAGAAATATCTAAAACTTAACATCATTTATTATCTAGTTAATTAGAGACTTAGATCACTAAAGGTTAAAGTTTATGTTAAAAGCTGTCATTTAATTCCTACATGACAGCTGGGTGGTGGTGGCGCACGCCTTTAATCCCAGCGCTTGGGAGGCAGAGGCAGGTGGATCTCTGTGAGTTCGAGGCCAGCCTGATCTACAGAGCAAGTCCTAGGACAGGCACCAAAACTACACAGAGAAACTATGTCTCAAAAAAAAAAATTCCTACATGACATGATCAAAATAAGAAATCTTGCCCCATGGATTATTTGGCCTTTCTCTTTACTCATCTATTCATGTATGTGGTTCTTTTATTGCCCTTGTCTTACATATCTCTCATTTAGGTAAATCTCATTGCCAAGAGTTAGTGTTCACATAGTGTTAATCTTGAGTGACAAAAATAGTTCCACTCTGTCCACAGCCATTGGTTCATTGGTAAATAAAACTTAACTTCCAAGTTAAGAAGGACCTGTAGACAGAAACTGACCCGCAAGATCAGTTAGTGGGACGTTTAGAGGTGAACCTTGGAATTGAAGTGGATGTCCTATAGGTAGGCAAGTCTTGTTTTTGTTGAAATGTCTTGGCTATTGTTGGCATTCTACATTTCCACAAACAGCTTAGAATGACTGTCAAGTTCTATCTGTTCTGACAGAGTCTGCAGCTGTCTGTAATGTCCTCTATATCTTGTTTCCAGGTACTGCTCTGTTACAGTATTACCTTTTTAAAATGGCATTTCCTGTTTGTAACTAATGCTAGAGAAAAATATCTGATTTTTGAATAATTTTGTTTCTGAGGAATTTCATTCTTTTCATTCTAATAGTTCCTGATTCCTGGAAATATACATATAAATTGTGGGTTTTTTAATATTTTTTAAGGTTTATTTATTTATTATGTATACAGAAGAGGGTGCCAGATCTCATTACAGATGGTTATGAGCCACCATGTGGGTGCTGGGAATTGAACTCAGGACCTCTGGAAGAGCAGTTGGTGCTCTTAACCTCTGAGCCTTATCTCCAGCTCCGTGAATATTTTTATTTAAAAACCTTTATAGCAGACGGGCATTGGTGGCGCACGCCTTTAATCCCAGCACTTGGGAGGCAGAGCCGGGCGGATCTCTGTGAGTTTGAGGCCAGCCTGGGCTACCAAGTAAGTTCCAGGAAAGGCACAAAGCTACACAGAGAAACCCTGTCTCGAAAAACCAAAAAAAAAAAAAAAAAACAAAAAAACAAAAACAAAAAAAAACTTTATAGCCTCCCAAGTATAGCTGCCCAAGTTTCCATTCACAGGCAGTCATGCCTTGCTATTGAGTTTTGTGGGTGTTGCATATAATAGATGTCTCGGCAGTGTGTTTTGACTATAACGTTCAGACCTTCTGGCCATGAGCAAATTCTTCCCTAGCCTTACATTGTACTTACAGTCTTAGTTTTTATTTTTATTTATGTATTGGTGTTTTTTGAGATAGGGTCTCACTATGTAGCTTTGACTGGCCTGGGATTTGCTCTGTAGCCCAGGCTGGCCTCCAAATCATAGAGATCCGCTTGGCTCTCCCTCCAGTGCTGAGATTAAAGGTATGTGCCACCACTACGTCCTTCCCTGTGAGCCTCGGTTTTTTATTGTTTCAAACATACCATTGATTTTCATGTATTGATTTTTCACCCATACACCATAGTCCTATCTATACCTGTTTGTTACAGATACTTTCAGATTTTCTCTGTAGATAATTGTGTCTGAAAATACAGCTTTCCTTCCTCCTGTCTAGTCTGGATACCTTTTGTTAACATGTTTGGCATTTGGCCTGTTGTGCTGACTTCAACTGCTGATACAGTGAGAACTAGGAACGGAGCATGGACATCCTACCCTGTTTTTAATCACAGGTATTTACCCGTCCACTTTCCTTAGCTCTTATTCATCACAGTAAATTCCCAAAAAGCTCAAACTGTTGGCCTTTTAGAATTGGTCAGAGGACCTTGGGTTTTACCTCATTTTCCACTACCTAGGCAGCTCGCTGTCTCTGTCTCTGTCTCCCCCCCTCTCTCCTATCTGTCCGTCTGTCTATCTATGTATCTCTCCTTTGCTTTTGTTTGTTTTTCTCTCTCACTTTTTAGAACATTGAGATACAGTTCACATACCATGAAATCCACCTTTTAAAGTGTTCGATTCAGTAGTTTTACTCTATTGAAAGGTTTGTACAACCATTATCACTAATTCCGGACCATTTTCACCCCCATCATCGGTTCCCCTTGCCTTCTCTTAGTTCCTGCCCACTTGCCTTCGGTTTCTGATTTGGGCATGTGGACATTTCTTATGTGCAGACTCATGAAATTTGCCTCCTGTAGCTTTGATTCCAAGCCACGTCCAGCAGCACAGCTCCATCACTCCTCTTACGGCTGGGTAGCATCCTTGGTGTGGCTGTATCATTTGTTCACACAGTTGGCAGTGGGTGGTGGACATTTCAGTTGGACCTGCTTTTTTTACTATAGTTATGTTCCTGTGAATTTTTGTGACCTTTTATATGAACATATATTTTGTTTTCTTGGGTTTGGGAATTACTGGGCTAAAAGTAGTTTCAAGTTTCTGGGAAACTGGCAGTCCACCTTCTGTTCTCAGCAGCACTGTGAGAGTCCAGCTCCTCCACACTTGCCAGTACTTTTGACTGTCTTTTTGTTGTGGCATTCTAGTAAACTCTTGTGCAGCACAGGCTGAACCTTTCAGGGTTTACCTTATTCGGGGCTGAAACTTTGCCAACCGAATAAGCTCCCAACACATCACTCAGTTGTAGGAAACAGTCATTCCTAGTACACAGACAAAACTACTGACCTAAAAGAGACAAAATGGCATGGAGCAAAGTTTTAAAACTTGACTTTTAGCCAGGCAGCAGTGGCGTACACCTTTAATCCCAGCACTCAGGAGGCAAAGCCAGGTGGATCTCTGTGAGTTCAAGGCCAGCCTGGTCTACAGAGTGAATTCCAGGACAGGCTCCAAAACTGCACAGAGAACCCCTGTCTCAAAAAACAAAAACAAACAAACAAAAAACTTGACTTTAGGCACTATTAAAACCCCAAGGAGAGACAGTCAAGCTGCTTTGCCAGGGTCTTGTCCAGCTCCTTCCTGTCACAGTGGTACAGATGTGGTGGCAGTCGTGGGCTGTTTGTGCTGCGTGTGACCCTGGGGAGTCTGCACCAAAGCACTTCTTCCTCTCCGCTCTTATGGACTGGAGTCTATTTCAGAACTTAGCTTAGATTTTATACCCTTGTCCTTTTTAGTCCCTGGGTCCCTTGAACACTCCATTGACACTTCTGTTTTTCTACTAGAGAGTCTTATATTTGATATCATTGGTTTTGGTTGGTTGGTTTTGGTTTTTTGTTTGGGTTTTTTTTTTTTTTCCAAATTAATCATCAGCTTATTTAGGGTTATCACCACGGGTGCTTTATTCTGAGGGTCACAAATAGTTTAGGACCCTTCTATATTAGTTACTACACGTGTAGCTTCTGAGCCATGGGCTGGCCATGTGTTGTAGCCATCCGGGGGCTACAGGAGCTACCTCTAGGTCCTTCTCAACCCTTCGGATGCTCTGGTTCCCACATGACTATGCAGGCACTCCAAGTATGGGTTAGAGTTTCTCCCCTCAGAGACGTCTCTGCTCTAACCTTGGAAAGGAGCCTTCTAGATCCAACAACTGGCACTCAGCATCCTGGTCCAGACCTGCTTATGGTTGTGTTGGGAAGGTGTGCAGCGGCACCTGCCAGCTGTTACAGGACTGTGTCCCAGGAGGGGGCGCCAGAGTGCCAGCATCAGCCCCTTGTCTGGTTGTGTTTCTCCTGAAGAGTATTCCTATATAATAGCATGTGGATAGCATTCAAGGCAGTGATGTTCCTATCCTCTTCCAATAACATGGATGAAAGCAATTGTCATCCATCCCTGATGAGGATATATTCGGAGAAATACATCATAAGGTGATTAGTGTGTATGTGAACAGCAGGGTGTACTTGAACAAGCTGTTGTAACCTCAATAGATGATACAATCTTAAGAGACTGCCATCATGTATGTATACATAATGACCCATCATCTACTGTTATAAAAACTTAAGAAGGAGAAACATGTATTTAAGGACTAGAGAACCAATTACAATCAATCAATTAGGTTCTCAAGTAAAAACAAAGGAGAGAACCGTTTGAGGGGGGAAATCAGCAGTTTGAAGGGTACCATTTATCTGTGATGAGTCTTAAATACTCTAATTGTAAAAAAAAAAAAGATATGAAAATGTTAATCTTTCACTTTAACTTTCAAATGAACAAATAACTCCTGAAAAAGAATGCCCGTGGAATACAGAAGTAAAGGACAATACACCAACTAAGACCTGAATGCTAAGGCTGGCGAGATGGCTGTTTTTGCAGAAGACTCACGGCCCAGGAGCCTCACGTCATCTCAGACTCCAGTCCGGAGGGTCCAGTGCTCTCTGCTGGCCTCTGTAGCCTCCATGAGGTGCATATGCAGACACTCGGCACACACAATAAATAAAGAAATGCATCTTTTCAAAGGAAAAAGGAGAATCCAGTGACCTTTTCACTTTACTTTTTACAGTAAAGGAATAAATACATAATAAAACAGAAAACAAAAACTTGGGTGGGGACATCTGAGTGTTTGGGAAATAAGGGACAGGGTGGCAATTCCAATGAAAATGAAGGCTGAATTTGTTTCATGCAGTTTTATTGCTTACAGGTCATATATATAAGGAAAGTCACGTAGTAAAAAATGATTGGAATTTTGGCAATTTTTATTAGGCAATGTTTGCTTTCATATTAGAAAAAATAAGTTCCTTGTGGCTCTAAATTAATAAACTAATAGTGATCTTATAGACATGTGTTGTATTTCATCTCAACTGACAATAAGCCACTACTCTAACATGGATTTTGTGCATATCTGAGTGGGATAGAAAGTGGTAGAATCATCACTGTTAACATTTACTTTTAAAGAACTAAAGACATTCATTCCTGTCAAATTTGAAGGAACTGCCCAGGCAAAGAAATGTAATTTAAATTTTTTACTGGTATATCATCGAAAGAAAATATGTACTATAAATTAGAATGTAATTTGCCAAGTTCTGAATATAGTTATTAAATATAAAGGTGTTGTCTAAAGAAGATAATATTTACAACAAATAAAAACCAGATTGTGGAATATATATATTCTGGATATAAAAATAAGTACAATGTCCAACAGTCCAACAGGGTCCTTCTGGGTGTAGCTTTACCCGTGGGACTCTGCCGCCATGCTGGCTCGGAGTGTCGGGAAGTCAGCATCCCCACCTTAAAGCAAGTACTGCCTTCTTAGGGCCTGCACATCCTCGGCAGAGAAACGCTCGGCCCGGGCCTGTGACAGGCTGTCAAGCAGCTGCGCCATCTGCTCCTTTTGGCCTTTGTTAATTAGTGTCAGGGTCATCTGGAAAAGGGGACAGTCTTGTGAGCCCAAGCAACACTTTCAAAGCTACAGAGCCCGAAGCCCAGGGCTCGTCCCAGGCGAGCTGCTGCTTACCTCAAACCTCTCTGCTCGGCTCAGATACAGGAGATGCTCATACACCAGCGAGGGGTCCTCAGCCACAAGGTGACTCTTGAGTGACTGAAGGAGGAGGAGCAACATGTCCCCTTCCAGTTTGTTACTTAGCAACCCCGGCAGATCTCTGGGTGCAGTGACGGCCAAAAGGTGCGCACAGGCCTCTGCGTCTTTCTCCGTGCAGATAGTGTTTAGGACCTGTCCGAACTCATAGGCGTTCCTGGGCTTGGAGACCTCAAGTTTTCCAGAGCGTTCTACAGACACTCCAGCTCCAGCTCCCTCCTTGGCGGGCAGGGAGGCGGCAGGGGCCTCTGCAGGTCTCTCACACTCCTCATCACTGCTTTCATTAACCTTCACAATAGAAAATGATACCAAGTCATGACACTGAATACCAGCCGCACAATCACAAGTTACTGTGAACTGAGACCACGTACAACATTTCAGTAGTCAAGTTCTAAGTGAAAATAAGTTTTTCTTTATTTTCAGATTTTTTTTTTTTGAGACAGTGTTTCTCTGTAGCCCTGGCTGTCCTGGAACTCACTGTGTAGACCAGGCTGTCCTGGAACTCACTGTGTAGACCAGGCTGGCCTCAAACTCAGAGATCTACTTGCTTCTGTCTCCCGAGTGCTGGGATTAAAGGTGTGAGCCACTACCACAAGGCTAAAAATAAAAAAAAAATTAATACATTATAAGATACATAATTTCTTTAAGAAGAAGTTAGGGTATAAAAATATTCTTAGAAGTTTAAAAACTCTGTTCTACACTAAAAACAAACTGAAGGCTTCTATTGGTTTTTTATTTTTATGATTAATTTTACATTCATTTTCATTTCCTTATATTTAGTGAAGTGAGCCTACATTTTTCATTTCTCTTAAAAGTTTTTTCTTGCTTAAGCAAGAAAGGGGAAAAAGTCATAGATCCTCACTTGGTGCCTCTTATTAGAAATGTCAGACCACAAATAGATATTAGCATTTATGGATGTACAGGAGTTTATGTCCTGCCATTCTTCATTAATGGCAAAGCAAATAATGTGGCTTTCTAGGAGTCACAGAGGTAGAAATGATGCCAGGGCTCTCTTGGAGAAGCCATACTATTGAAGAGTTAAAAAGAGAGAGAGAGAAAGATGGGCCAGGAGTGATTGTGCACACCTTTGATCCCAGCACTCAGAGGCAGGCAGATCTGAGTTCAAGGCCAGCCTGGTCTACAGAGCGACCAAAACAAAACAACAGCAGTACATCAGCTTGGGAACGTCCCCACCAGGAGTGGTTTGCATGGCTGAGGAGGCGCCCGTCATCTCCATGTCTACCCCAGGAGAAGCCTACGGCCTCGGGCTCCCAGGGCACAATCCGGCAGAGGTAACAGTTAAAACAAGAACTTCCCTGACATACAGACTCCCACTATCCACGGCCCATGCTGAGAAACATGGTGGCTAACTGTATATCAAAAGGCAAATTCTGTCTTCACAACTGGCTCAAATTTTCATTGACAATCAGAAAAGGAAAAGATTCTGTAGAACTCACAGGACGATAACCTTGGCTTGGGATCCATATCAGATCTCAGCAGAGTGCTTTCAGAGTCTGAAATACAAATACCTCTTGGACTTCGATTCTCTTCCTCTCCCTCCCTTTGCTGGGAGGCGCTGCGCCGTCCTTCACATCAAGGTGCCTGGTTGCCTCTTGCAGCTCCATCTTTGCCTCACCCATGTCTGGGTGCTGACTGGGGTCAGCTAAGCTTTCCTGGCAATTCTGAAAAATGTGATGGCAGGATGGTTTGCATGAGTCAAGGCTCTTGGGCTAGCCTGGATGACAGTGTGTACAACGGCTTCCGTCAGTGACTTTCACACAGTGGGTGTGGATGAGTCCGCTGTGAGACAGATGGACACACTGTACTACAGCAAACCTCCACTGTGGTGGAAAGGACAGTTAGCCAGCCAGGGCCCATTCTGTGTCGTAATAACCTTCTGTTCTAAGCACGGTAGACACCCATCTGCTGAATGAATAAAAGAAATGGGTGAACTGATTAGCCCCCAAATAACTTTTCTTGTTGCCGGAAGGGTTTATTTTGGCTCACAGTTCAAGGGCACAGTCGTCATGCCAGGGAAGGTGTGACGGGGGCAGGGACAGCTGTCACGTGCATCCACACTCAGGAAGCACAGAGAGACAAGTGTCTGTGCTCAGCTTGCTTTCTCATTCAGTCCAAACACGCAGTCCATGAAACGCTACCACCCAAATTTAGGGCGGCTCCTCCCTCCTTACCCTAATCTAGATTTCCTTCACACACCCAGAGACGTTTCCCCTGGTGTCTTAGCTGGGGTTTCTATTGCTGGGATGAAACACCATGACCAAAAAGCAAGTCGGGGAGCAAAGGGTTTATTAGGCTTACACTTCAGCATAGCTGTTCATCACTGAAGGAAGTCAGGACAGGAACTCAAACATGGCAGGAACCTGGAGGCAGGAGCTGATGCAGAGGCCATGGAGGGTGCTGCTCACTGGCTTGCTTCCATGGCTTGCTCAGCTACTTTCTCATAAAACCCAGGACCAGCAGCCCAGGGATGGCACCACCCACCATGGGCTGGGCCTTCCCCATTGATCACTAATTGAGAAAATGCCTTAGAGCTTGATCTCAAGGAGGCATTTCCTCAGCTGAGGCTGCTTCCTCTCTGAAGACTCTAGCTTGTGTCAAGTTGACACACAAAACCAGCTAGCACACATGGTAATGCTAAATCTAATCAAACTGATGACAAATATTAACCATCACAGTCCCTGCTAGTGAGGCCTGAGAGCCCAAGTGAGGTATGGTGCACAGCCCTAGCCCTAGCTACTCTGGAGGCCAGAGAATGGTTCGAGCCCAGAAGTCCAAAAGCCCCTGAGCAACGAAGCATGATGAACTTCCCAGTAAAAAATGCTTTCTCAAGGCTGCAGCAAGGAATGAATGAGTGAGTGGACCCATAACGGGCACCACAGGGTGTAGCTTTTCTAATCATCTTATTCTATAAAACCCTGCAAAGTTGTTCCTGAAGAACCAAAGCACCCCCATTTCAAGCAAGCCCCTCACCCCAGCTTGAAACAGGCCTGAGTTTCAAAGTTCTCAGAGCTGCTGACATAGGTCCCAGGACAAAGTTAGGCTGTTTGAAGATCCATCTGGTAGCAATTGATTAACCATAGAATGCCCCAATGCCGGAGATGGTCAAAAGTACAAAGTCAGGATGTTTGAAGGACTATCTGGTATCAATTGATTAACCACAGAATGCCCCAATGCCGGAGGTAGTCTATAAAGTTTGACAAACAACCGGTCAAAACTACAAAGTAAGATAACCCAGGAATTCTGGAAAGCCCCTAAAACTTGAGCCAATCAGAATTGTACCTGTGCTAGCACCCCTAAATGATGTAACCTTGTGGTTTTGCCTTTAAAACCTGAGCTTGCAGAGGGGCGGGCACCTCCTCCAGCCTCTACTGTGTTGGATGGCTTGACGAGGGCCCTGCCGTGGCTTGAACTGCTTCAATAACCTTGCTTTTGCATTTCGGTGAGTTCCTGTCTCTGGTGGTCTCTCAGGGGTCTCGCGCCCAGGGCACAACAGTTCCCAGTTGGAAATTGGCCAGCATTGGATTTTAATCTCATTTTAGACTCACAACGTAAGTTGGAGAGGTAGAAGAGACTCTACTTGCAGAGACAAAATGTGCCATTTCAGCAGAGTTCTAGAACTACAGCCCAGAACCATGTTTAATTAAGCCCAGTTGTGAGGTGGAGAATCATCACTCTCTTAAGTACTTGAGATGCATCGTGGCAGCATGCACTGGAGGCTGAATGGAGTCTCCTGAATTAGCGGTGGCATGGTATTCCTGGGAGACCAGCTGTAACACTGGTCCCTTCTTCCTCCCACAATGACTCGAGAAGAGTGGCATGTCTCAGACCGAACCCTAAAGCTGGGGTGCGAACTCTAACACATGTCCACGTTCCACCCTTGGAGTGCTCCGACAGAACCAGGGGAGAATGGACATGACATTTACATTACGATGTCCTAGATGGGGACCACAGGCGAGAGGCCAGGAACACAACCAGAGGGCAAGGTGTGGGCCGGCGACGGTCACAGACTTACCAAGACCATGCCAAGCTGTAATTTACTCTCCTAGCCCCATCGACAAATGACTGTCCCCATCTCAAAAGGGATGAAACGGATATAAACAAAAATCATTGAGAAGACCGTGGCAGTCATGCCCAGAGCTGGGTGATAAGCCAGGGCAGCCCAATGTCAAGGTCTGAGAACAATGAATCTGGGAACCTAGACTAGGAAGCGGACATCACTCACACAGGCTTTTCACCCATTCAAGAGTCTGCCTGAAGATCCGTCTGTCTGGTTGCAGGAGTGGGGAGAGATCAGAAAGCCCTTGACTAGGCAGGCAGCAAGGTGAGGGGCAGCTCAGCAGGATGGACAGCAGATGAGGCGGGATGTAGGGCCACCTGGTGCACAGTAGTCACTGAGCTGTCCCTGTTAGGAGATGGAGTGCGGTGACAGGAAGCCTTGGGACTTGTCCCTATGGTACCTGAGATCCTATCAGAGGAAACAATAGAAGAAACAGCTTGCAATACCGCTGAGCTGTCCTGTTGCAAAACAGGGAAGCAAGGCTTGAGGTG